ACGGCACATAGTGCTATATGCAAATTGTCGGATCAGTCGACGAGGTGGCAAAAAAAGACTTTTGAAATTTGTAAGTTTTAGTTTTTTAAAATCTGCAGAGTTTATCTTGTTTATGTGATAAAATGTAGAAAAGGTTTTGTTTTTAACCTGTATAGTTAAAATTGTGATAAAAAATTGATATTGAAAATGTTAAAAAAACCTAAGTGTAGTCTGATTTCTACTGTATGTGCAGTGTCCATGCTGAAATGAGGTATGGTTTACAAAGAATTTATGTGAGTTTTTTGGTTTTTATTTGTGTCCTGTTAAATATTTTTATATATATTTAGTTAGCTGAAGAGGGGCTGATGCCCGAAACGTTGATGTATGGAAAAAACGTTCTAACTAAATAAAAGATTCAACTAGCCCAGTGTTGAAAAAACGTCACTTCATTGTGCCTGTACACAACAACTTTTATTAAAGTTTATAATCACTTGTTTTATTAGTAACAAGCAATTATTTATTGTGACATCATCACAATGCCAGGATGCAATTTTTAATCATATTTTTAATTTATTTAATTTAAATTATATGTTCTCCACTTCAAATTAGTAGTGACTTGCCCCTATACCTTTACCTTTAACAATAAAGTTGTGCCAATCATCCATCTAACACCTTTCAGGGGAAAATTTTTCAATTGAAATAAACATGACTTCCAGTTTGCATCAGAAGTTCGTATATAGTTAATTCGGGCCTCTTGTCCCTAAGGTTACCATATCTTGTCTCATCTTTCATTTATCTATGTTCTCGAGATTAAGGAAAGATAGATGGACGTCAGTGGGAATTTATAGGTCTGCAATTTTAAAAAATTGCAGCCCAACTAGTAGATATGTCCAGCATTACCCAGCCAAAAAATAAGAAGACTAAATGTTAAAAGGAAAACTATATTAAACGTTTGGACATTTTAGTCTACTATTGTTACATTTATCACAAGGTGTCAAGGAGATTAAATCAAGGAAAGAGTGAATATCTATGTTTGGGGCTATCCATAAATTATCCATAAAAATAGTGAATAGTGGGGCTATCCATAAATAATTTATGGATAGCCCCACTATTCACTATGGTATTCACTATGGTATTTTGGGGTGGGTGGGGTCAAGGATTTCTTACTCAGGGGTACGGGGGGTAATAGATCTCGTCTTACGTAATATTCTTATTTTTTTATCTCGTTGAATGGTGGAGTTTTGAATTTGGCTTCAATTTGGCCATTTCTATTAAGATCACTCGTTGTACTAAAGCCATCTCACGTGACATGATAAAATAATAACGCTAGCAGACTCATGCTCTACCCGTTTTTTTCATGGGAGAAAGACTATGTGGTGGTTTCTCTCTCTCTCTCTCTTTTTTTTTTATTAGAATAAGTGCACCACTCCTATGGGTGTATAACACTAAGAATACATAAACCAAAATACATGATACAAAGTAAACATAAAATTAGTATTTGGCTTTTAGTAAAAACTAAAATGTAAAACTAGATATTAAAAATTATAAATAGTCTTTTCTTCCATGTATTTTGAACATAATTGTAAAAAGCATAAAACAGTGGCTTCTGAACAAGCTTATCAAGTGGACATGTCCGCCTGAAACCAAGCGTAAAGATTTCTAATTTCAGAATAAGTGTATGTTGATCATAAATTGGACAATGATAAGGCAAATGTCTAAGTGGTGATGAGATCTTGCATTCAACACTAGGAAAATGAAGTCTTGTTATTCTACCAGTTTTACTGCTCAACTATTGTTGATTCCACTTTTGCATAGCATTGTCATGAATATAATTTTTTAAGGCTGCTACATGAAAGAGGAATGTGTGTAGTCCAAATCAGTGTCCAAATCAGCTGACTTAGCCTCAAAGTTGGCTTTTTTATTTCTAAATATACCAGTATGGCCAGGAAAAAATATAAAAGCTATCTTATTTACAAGATTTTTAATATGGTGCTGGATATATGCAATTTTATTGCTATTGCAATTGGGATTTAATAGAGCTTTTAGGACAAACTGAGAATCACTGTAAATGTTGATAGACAGAGTTTTGTTTGCTAGTGAAGTGGCCCACTGAACAGCTTGGTAGTCAGCATTTTCTTCAGTTTGATAGAAGGAGGTATGTGGGAAGTATCTGTACCTTCTAACATATTTTGGGCAAAATATGTCAGTTTGGAGGAAGATACAGATACTTGAGCCAACATGAAGGGAGCTTTTAGACTAGACCATCTGTGTAGATATTAATGTCTGCATGGTTATCCATGGAAGAAGCAGATGGCACTAAATGTACCCTGTGTACACTAAATGTGATCATCATCTTGTTTACAGGATGATGATCACATTTAGTAGGGTAATTGCAATGTGGTAGCATATGAACAGCTGTAGATAGGAGTAAAGACTGTTGTTGAGCCTTGATGTTTGTAGTTCTGATGTAGTAGTTTAGAACCTTTTCTTACAATACATAGTGCAAAAGAAGGAGCTCTGCTAGTATCAGAAGCATTAGTAGAAACAGTTCTGCAGCACTTTGAAATTCTGATGGCAAACTGTCTTTGAAGAGAGTAATTTACTTGCTACTGAATTTTTACTAGTCACATGACCCCAGCTAGAGGCTGCGTAAAGTAGCATTGGTTGTATTGCCCCATTATATAGAGATTTTACAAGCTTTATGATTTATTCCTCAGGTGCACATAGCACATTTTAGCAGCATGTAGTTTATTTTATTGACCTTATCCACTTAATATGGCAACGGAATGTGGTTTCTATTCTCTTTTGTTTTATTTTGTACGACATTTCTGTTTACATGTGCACTAGTTTGTCTGACAGATTGACAAACTAGTTTTTTGCGTCCTTTTGTGAAAAGTAAAATTAATCTAAAAATGAATATTATGACGTTGATTAATTAATGATGATGATAATAATAATAATAATAAAATTGTTAATAATTAAAAAATAAAGTTCTTAAAATAAATTGTTCATTCAAATTCATTAAATTTTTATATTTTTAAATTTGTTCATAAAGTCTTTTATAAATAATAGTACATATTAATTAACTAATTAATAATTATATATTTTGGACCTAAGGTTTTAGGGTTTCATAAAAAAATTTTTTTGTTAAAATCTAAATATTTAAAATTGCTTGTCCTGATTGACTGACTCACTGATTCATCATCGCCCAGAGCAAACCGCTTAACCTAAAGAGGTGAAATTTGGTAGACACTTAGGGTACGTCATGGAAACGCACACTAAGAAGGGATTTTTCGAAATTTCCCCGCGGGGGGAGAGGGAGAGGATTAAGGCTTAACCGGAAAAACGGCTTCTACTGTACTATTTTAGATGCAATTTTTTGTTTTTAACTGAGTTTAGTCTTCATTGAGTACTCAGGTGTATTAAATTGATAACATTTCAGACATTGTTATAAATATTTTTATCTATTTCAATTTTAAAAATGTTCGAACCGTTTTAAATTTGAGTTTGTTATTGCATATTGGTTCGATTATAGAACAATTGTAAACATTCCAGAAAATTGATCAAATTGAAAATAGTTTGCTTGATTCTCAGCAATTCTTTTCAGCAGTAGGTGTTATATAACAATTACTATGGTTGTTGAAATATTGAATATAAATGGGGTTTGCTTGCAAAACCTCCGTGGACGAAGTTGTGGGTAACAGCTAGTCTTTCTATAAAATCATGCCAAAATATTACGTAAGATAGGGAAGGGGAAGGGGAGGGGGAATCAAAGAAAATATTACAGTTTCTTACACAGGGGTGTGTGCGGGTCTAGAATGTCCGAAATCGTTTGTTTCAATCTGTATAAAAGGATTGAATTTAGGCAGTAAAAATGTTATTTTTTTNAGTTTTATTTAATTAATAAAAAATCTGCAGGTTTGATTAGTGGTAAACATTCCGGGGGTCATAAAGATGCTACAGTTAAAATTTGATAACGATTGGTTCAGTAGTTTTCACGGTTAGTGGTCACAAACGAAAAATACGTTGTCTCTTTATATAGTAGTATAGATATAGATATAGAAAACCAAATATTCGGTCTTTTACCGACGTTTTGTATGTGTCGACATTTACCGGAGAATATCGACATTCTCTAATTTCGGTCTTTCACAGTAACATAGATATAATTGAATATACAGCATCCATATTACATTAAGAACCTAAATTAAGGCATATAATATGAATGTAGTTAATTTATTAATTAACCACTTGTTCCCGAATTTTTGTTTAGGAATTTTTAATTAAACATAAAAAATACCTAAAACTGAAAAAAAACGAAAGAAATGCATTAATTTTGAAGAGAAAGCTTCAAACTTTATTTTCCATTGTCTCGCCTTTCTGCGAAACTTAACACCGATGAGTCATTGTGTTTACAGCTGGATGACCTTGAGAACAGCTGGTGTTGAATTTCCCGGGACATTCTCATAAACGTTTCAGGAGGAGAAGGGTTTGAAGTAGGGTTATACTAGCTGGCCGTATATTTTAAATATTTTTAAAAAATTACGTTTTTTATTGCGATTTCCAACCCCCCGACTTAAACGTATATATAATAAAATCTATTAATTAAAAAAATTAAAAAACTATTGGAGGTCGTTTTTGATATCAGAAAGTAGCTTTAAATAACTTTACCGAAGTAAAATCTGTGCACTAGAACTTTAGAACGATGAATGAAATTTGTAAACAAAAATTATACTCCAAATTTTATTAATTTATTATAAAACATTAAAAACCAGCTATGGAATTCTTAAATGAAATACTGATTAATTAAATGGCGATTAAATATTAATTAAATAATTGCATGAAATATTTGTCGAATAAATTATAACATAAGAATTTTATTGCTTTTCAATTCACATTATTTATTATCATTTTATTATTATTATTATTATTTTGAATTTACCTAGACCGCCATTATAAATAGTATTATGAAAGCTTCACGTTATGGTATTGGAAAACGAGGAAGTTTGCTATAGTCGTGTTAAATGCATGATTCTTTACAGTTAATGCATGCTATAAAAAATTAACACAACGGAAAAGTCGCTGTGCAATCTAATGAGAGAAAATACTGTAAAATAAAATTCACATATCGCCTGACGTATTCAGCGAAAAGTGCTGATATCGTTACGAAATGTGCTGATTGGTTTAACTGAAGGACATTACATTTTGCGTTGCTCTCAAGTCGAATTCTTTCCATAGACAGTTTGTACTTATTACTTAAAGCACGCTCATATTTATGAGTTTCAACCTTTTATAAACGAATTAATTTAATGCAATAATTGTTTAACAAGACATTTCAATTAATAGAAAACTGAAAATTTCGTACGTCTTTAGAAAAGGTAGGAATATAATATATTAGTTGAATATGAGCTTTATAATTAATTGCAAACACAGAACTAAATACAAATAATTTGTTTCAGAAACGATTTTTAAGACTTTTTCTTTAACTTGTTTAGAATTTGTTTACAAAAATTATATTTAAATCAAGTATATTAAGTTTAACCATTTTGACTAAGAATTTTATTAAATTTAGATTGTTTATTAAATGATGGCTAATTAAATATTATAAATGCGCATTTCAATGCGTTTTAACAGTTAAGACGTGAAAATATGATGATAATCTGAAGATAAAAACTTTCTAAACCTTAAATTTTAATCAGCTACGACTTACACTATCATGATTATTTCTTGTTATCTATTTAGAGCAAAACATGAAGTGTTTTATTAACAAATGTATCATCTAAATCAGGGGTGTTCAACCTTTTTGTTTCTCTGGGCCGCATTGAAAGAAGTCAAGGAGTTTTGGGTCACAACTATATATACTTATGGGCCAACATACAAGTATATTTAAGGATTAACATGTCTAGATTATAATAATGTGTNGGAAAACATCTGGCAACATCAGAAGCAGAAGCATCGAGATCTAGCAACATTGAAATAAGTTTCGAGAAGGACCATGTGTATTGACAGAAGGCGAGAAAAGAAAATTTTCATACTTAAGTACTAATAGTTCACGAAAATTATTATTTTCATGAACTATTATTACTTAAGTATGTAAAAATTTATTACATTTCATGTTGTACGAGGGTTTTACCCAATTCTCAAACCGTCTCAGAGTGAATCCGTGCTATAACAGTAATGTGTTATACGGGGGTGGTACCAATTCTCGAACCGTGTTAGAGTGAATCCATGATATAGAAGTGCTGTGTTATACGGGGGTTCCTGTACTGTATGTATGAATACATTTACACAAACTATTCAAAAGAAAAATCTTAATAAATTATTATATATGATAAAAATGAATTACTTAATTGGAATGACTGGTTTCTCAGAGCCAAATTTTATGGTAAATATTAATCCTTCAACAGCAATAAATAAAAACTGGGATAAAGTGATCAGATTACCACTCTGTGGCACCTCCCTAAAAAGAAAGAAAAATTTTTTAAATTCATTTTTATTCTCTTTTGTAAAATATTAATAAAAATTTGATGTTAACAAAACAATTTCAAGTTTCTGGTAAAAATCTTAAATCGATATTATATCATAACATAATATCATAATCTCATATTACATGAAGTTATGATTATTTTCGATACTGAAAGAGCTTAGTTTAGATTATTAAAATGAGGAGTACATTTTATCATCGGTTTTTAAAACTATCTTTAATATGATTTATATAATCATCAAAGGTATAGAATCAATCATAATTCTCTATTGCATTAAAAAATTTTTACTTCTATAAAAGGGATTTGGATTCCATATTTAATCTAGCATAATTTGTTTACACTTTTTAATCTCTTCATAAACTGTTCAGTTTTTTATGATTTAGTTATTTGTTATAGTTTTAACTTCAACATTAGCAATAGAAAAACTATAATGGATTACAATTACATTCCACAGGTCAACTCACTCTTTTTTTTTTTTTTCTTATATAGACCTAGTTCGATTGGACAAAAATTTATGATTCTTTTTATTATATCAAATGATATAAATATGTAATATGGGAAACTAGTCTGAAACAATATTAGAAAAAAACTATATTAATTAAATTTTTTGCAAAACAATGATTTCAAGTAAAATTAATCTAGAGGTCAGTCATGAGCAACCTGCAGCCTGCAAGTTCCTAATATGTAGGTTCCCTGGGGCTTTAACAAAATACAGTAGAACCTCGATTATCCGAACTAATTGGGGATGAAGATAGTCCGGATAAGGAAAAATCCGGATAATCGAAACATATACTTTAATTTGTCTTTTAATGATAATACAACACGTTTTCTTTTCGATGACATATCGGTAATATTAAAAAAAATACTGTATTTAAATTGTGATCAAATTTTCAAGAAACAAACGTTCGTATTGAATTTGAGCTACTACTGACCAACGCTAACAGACTACCTATTATTTAAAAGGCCCTTTGGTGGCGCAAGAAGACGGATTTTATAAAGTAAAAAGCAGTTGAAACTGCATTTTTATGAATAAAAATTTGACAAACTATTTATCGTTTTATGACGAGTAAAACTTTTTTGTCACGTTCGCGGCTTTTAAGTAACGCATAAACCTTCGAGGCGCGAGGCCCTTCGGACCATGAGACATAGGCAATGGCCCACGTCGTCCATGCCTTACGCCGCCCTTGGTCATAGAAATGATGTAATTCGAATATAAATTATTTATAAATACGTACGTCAAGTTATATTATTATTACTACGTGAAATATATTTAAGAGTTTACGACCACTGTGCTGGGTGAGATGTTGTTGAAACAAAAAAAGTTATGCATTCCATCACGTACATAAACAGTGTCGAAATTCGCCAAGTGCAAATCAGCAAATTCATAAAATTTTTGTTTATTTTGAACAATCCAGATAATTGAAAATCCGGATAATGGAGGTTCTACTGTAATGTTATTTTTCTGTTTGCTACATCATGTCATTACACATTCTAATTAAGCTGATATTCATAATGAGCATTCAAACTAAATTTGACCAGTGAAAAAATGAAACAATATATTGCTAGTTTGTATATCATTAGCCAATATTATTTTAGTACCTATCCTCAACTGGCTTAAAGGCCTGGAATTCTATAAGAAAAAAATGCAAGCAGCCTACCAAAGCCTGCTTATACAAAGTACACTCGTTGCCCAAATCCATAAAGGTTGCTTGTCACTCATTTAGAGCCTAAATATTATGTAAGATAGCAAAGGGGAGGAGATCAAAGAAAATATTATGGTTTCTTACACGGGGTGTGTGGGGTGTAGAATGGCCAAAATCGCCCTTATGTAATTTATGGACAGCCCCTTTCATGGTAGACTATTTTCCTCGAATAAGTATGAAAAATTTGGTGCAGATCAATCAAAAAGATTAGAACAGAAAGACATAAGTATTCTATTATATATATATAAAGCTGGCAGAGAATCTCTAGTCCCTATATAAAGCTGGCAAAGACACTTAATTAACAGACTAGGCAATTCTGATGAACCATATAGTCCAATGATTCTGGCAAACCATTTATCTAATCCAAAAGTTTTGATGGAACATAATGGTTCTGAGGAACTGTCTAGCCCAGGTCTAGCCAATTGTTCCAGTTCTAAAAGCATTCTATCATAACAGTTCCAGTTCTAAAAGCAAAACTGTATTTTCCACCTCTAGTATATATTCTTATATAGTACTGTATATACACAACATACAGGTAACCCCCGTATAACACGGTAGTTACGTACCAAAAATTTGCCGTGTTATGCAAATCCGTGTTATACGAAACAAAGAACTAGTAAGGAAAGGAGGGTTAGGTTCCAAAAATTAAAAAAACATGCTATTATATTTTCATAATTAAGATAAATATCTTTATTAAAATTTTCTTAAGTGATACATATTAATATAAATTAAACAATGTTTTCTTCGTCATCACTAAAAGCACTATTAACCGAGAGCGTTTTCTTTTTGGCAAGTTATCCTTATCCTCTGAGCATTTTTC